GTAAAAACATGATGTCACAAATTGCTTTCGTTTGTATGTATATATTACACCATTTTTTAACTCATTACCTAAATGATTATTAAGTTAAGGCTTTATATATATATATATATATATATATATATATATATATATATATATATATAATTCTTTGATTTCTTTTTATCATTCTATATTCATCAAATTAAAATTAATTTTTTCAAGCAAATTTCGCTAAGGAACGATTAGATTTCTTGAACTCAAGAGCACACACAAAAAAAAAAAAATCAAAGCAATGTTCATGCAATAACCATCATCATAGCTTTAAATAATTTATGCAAAAATTAATTGTAACGTAAAATGTGTTAAAATTTACTTCACGTATTAATATTTAATTTTTTTAATCAAATTTTGTTGTTCTTAACATATATATTTTTTAAAACATAGTATTACGTATATAAATTAATTTCACATTATATTTGCTACACTATAAGTTTTATTAAATAACTTTGTTTATAAATAACTTTTAAATAGATGACATAAGAAAATAACCAAAGTTATAAAAAAATGAAAACTATTAAAATACTATTAGTGGCAGAGAACTTGTATGATTTATATATGATTTTAAGTTTAATTATTGTTGTGTGTGTGGGTATATATATATATATATATAATTGTGCATGTGTTGATGATAGCACAGATGTTTTAAATTAAAGAAAAAAAAGATCATATTTAGTTAAGAAAAAAAAGCTTACAGATACTTTGTTGCTATTGTTAAGAACAGAAAGGTATGAATTATCACAGCCTTGATCATTTTTGCCATTGTTTCTTTGGGATTTGCATTCCAGAAAAATAAATACACAGCCTCAAAAATATTCACACGCTTAAATCTCATGCAATAACATTTTTAAGGGTCTAATATATATTGATGTATTCCTGAAATATTAATCAGTTCCATGAAAGAGATTTATGAAGAAACCAATTTTCAACTGTGAATAGGGTAGTTTAAAATATGGATCTTATTCTTAATTGAAATATACTGGCATAATATAAAATTTAAGACAACTAACTTTAAATCACTCTTTATCATAAGAATAAAATAATATATTTTTATCTTAAAAACCTATTATCTTTCTTTCACCTACTAAATAGTACAATATAATAAAAAAAAAGGTTTTATAAGACTCATTAAAGTAAAAATTGTAAAAAAAATCATAAGTAATGTGGTATGGTAAAACTTAGACCTAATCAAATGACCCTTTCAATGGAAAATGTTTTAATAAAGTATAATTATTAAAGGGATAAAAGATAAATATGTGAATGTAACTTTAGCTGATCTTAATAGTGTTGAGATTGAATTTGGTGAAAGTTAAAAAATAATTCTAAATTTATTTGGTCAAGTAATAAAAATATATTTTTTTAAATTATGTACTTTTTAATGGTTTGCAATGCATTAAGGTGACCTTTTTTATTAAAAAATTATATATTAACTTTAACAGAACTCAGAAAAATAGAAATCTAAAAGGTTATATATAGTGAAAAGTAAGACTAATTATACTAAAAAGTAAGACATAATTATTTCCAGTGTTATTTTTTAGAATTAACTTTTGAAAGGCACAGGAAATACCATTATTAAGCAAAACAAGTATGCTTCTACTGCATGAAATTTCAAGATCACAGAAGTAGCATGTGAAGAAATTTTATGGTTTTGAAGTTTTACTTTTAAACCAACAAAACTGGTCCCAGTATTCTTAAATTTACCACACTCACATTTATATGTCATTTCAAATTTATTTCCCATCTATACCTGATTTTATGCAATAACTGCATTAATAATAAAATGACAAATTCAATAAAATAAGGGCAGTACTTTATTTAATGTAAGTATAATAAGAATGTACTAAAAATTAAATTAATGCATGGCCAGAAACTCAACTAATACATTATGAATGTTGCTGTGATGCATGACATTCCAAATTGTTCATATTTATAAGAGAGTGAATGCAGCCAACCTTATGACAGCCAACTATGCATAGTAAAATTTAAATACAGGGAGCCAGATTATTAATTTAGCATTAATTTAAAGGTTATTTTTCCTTCTGTTTTTCAATTTCACACCCTTCAATACTTTATTTTATTCATCATACATATACATACATACATATATACATATATATATGTATACTTTTTAATTTCATTGAAATAAATGCCTATCACAAGTTCAGTTAACATCTAAATTACTTTCTAACAACAGTGAGGTTAAATGACTACAAAAATTGCACTTTCAAGTATAAAAGATGCTGAACCACTAAATCAACCAGGTACAGAAAAAAGACATTATCTATATCCAGTTTTTTATGATGATTATAAGCATGCATCTGTTGATAACTTCTTGAGAGAGGTATCAAGCCAGTATTTGTTTTTCTGCTAAATTGAACACTATTTGATGTTTACTGTTTACTGACTTAACATTAGTGACCGAATATTGTTTGTGACCTAAATAATATATGCATATATATATAGATATAGATATAAATTGGAGTACTGAGAAAAACTGTACCTTGGTTAAATGTTTCTAAAATCTCACTGAAATGGTAGGTGTGTGAGTCCTTGTATCATAAGATCTGATTTCAGTGATTTGGTGGAGCTTCTGTTTTTCCTTCTGCATAAAATGCACAAGGGGCAAACAATAACTTATTAACTAAAAGTGGATATAGAACTAATTACATTGACATTAATACCGCAGTATAACTGAGAAACATTAATTGCTTTATAACACTGTACTTGGGATGATGCAATTCCCAAAACAATGATAACCTTCACGTTGCTAAGAAAAAATAATCATACTATATCATTATATGATCAATATAAAAGTCTTGGTTTTATGATTAAACAAGAAGCCTAATCCTAGCTAGGGAATAATTAAGCCCTTGAATTTATGGATAACTTTAATCAACCTATGACTCTAGGATGCTCTTAGTTATTAACAGAAGGTATGTATTTCATGCATGGATATGTATGAAGCACAAAGGTGTTGAATCCCAAATCTTCCTTGGAAAATGAAATAGGATTACAAAAATCACCTTCATATTGTTACCTTATGACCAAAAAACTAATATATGTTTGTGTCTTTCTTTCTTAATATTGTTTTATTTCCTTATCTAACTATGTCTGCAAGATCAAAGATGACAGGAGAATATAATAAAATATAGATCAAAGAAAAGAATGAAGAGTTTGATGTTTTATTTGGCTAGTTTTATCCTGGGTAACTTTTACCGATTTCTTGTTGGTTTTCGAAGCATTTGAAATGAAGTAGATCATCCCAAAAAGGTTTCATTTCTAGTCTCTTTCAGTCTTTAAATTCCAGCAGTGACAAGGATTCTTCCAAGGCTTTTGATGGTTCATGGAAATTGACTTTACCCCAAAGGATCTGAGATACTGCTATATATATTTTAATAGAAAACATCACATTCAAGTCTGTGTAGCCAAAAGAAAGGTCCTGCTCCTATATATGTCTAGTCTCGCTTACTGTTGATCTTATTGTCCTATGTGTTGCTTTTGCTTTCCCATTTCTCACCGTGTGAGAACACCACATTCCATTTGATATCTCCTTTTTATGCCTTGAACAGTGTATTTTGCATTCAATGCCACTCTAATATTTTCAAACATGTATACACAAGTGCTTTCTATGATCTATTACTCCAAGTAAACTTCGACAAAATATACAAATAGTAAAATGTAAAGGTCTTGCATTTTGTAAACCTAAAGCAAAGTGCATCAATCTGCCCCATCAGTTCTACAAACACACAACACAACTTTCTTTACCCAGTTTATATTAATTCACACGATAATTTCAAAACGTATCAAGGTTTTTTTCCCCTTCAATTACATGATGCTACACATCTCGAATGAATCAAAATGATTTTGTGTTTTCTTATCCTTGCATATGTTTTATATCTGTCATATAATATGAAGTTTAAAGCAAACAAAATGAGAAAGAGTAGAAGCTAAAGCTAATAATTTTTCACCTGGATTGTCAAAGTAAAGCTCTTTGATTCACTGTCCAAAAGTCTTAGCTGTAATGTAATTATTACAATATCTGTGACAAATCCAAAAAATGTATATGATTAGTAACGAGTGAGTTTGATTTTCAACCGTTGACAGTAGCAAAACTGTTACAAAGACTAATTAAGCATCACATGAGGAATCTAAATCCATAAAAGTCTAAAGGCTGTATCTGTTAAATTAAGATAAGAATCAATAGATCAAAGACAAAACATTGAAATAAGCATCAGAATCAGGCTACTTACTCTTTAAGGCATGAGTAAATGGGGTCAAACACCCTCCAATTTTTCATTTTCCCAATATCACGTTTGTGTGCAGTGTTAATCCAGACAAGAAGGCGGCTGATGAATAGGAGAAGTTACAAAAGCATATCAGCAGAAAATACAAATAAAAAAAGGTGCTAGTAAATGTGGAGGGATATAGAGGTAAAAAATGGAGGGAGGAGGGTTAGTACTCTTGATCAATATATAATGAATAAATTATTTATGGTAACTACAGCATAGTAAGTGGAAAAAGGTAATCAAATTAGATGAATGGAGGAGGAATAAGATCAGAAAAAATTACCCTTTTACAGCTGTACAACTTTCTGCCCTTTATCTGCAAAGCTACAATGCCTAACTAAGCAGCAGGAGCAGAAGCAGCAGTGTGTTGAACGACATCAACCCAACAAGGCTAACAGAAACATTAGAGGAAAGAAGAAAGCAACAAGCTTTTCTGTGTATCATTAAATGCAGTAAACGGAAAGAGAGAGAGAGAACAGTATTGAAGCAATATTAAAATAGAAATAGCAAAAGACATATATATATATATATATATACTATAATAATATTAATAAATAATAATATAATATATATTTGTATTGTACTATACACAATTGAAAAAGGTCTAAACGTAATTGATCTCCATATGGATTTCATTTCCCTCTTTAGGTTGTGAAACGATGGATATTCCATTTCTTCAGGGCCCAAATCCCAAGCTAATTAATTCATTGAGCAGTTCTAAACGTACTAAAGACTCCAAAACGTGCAAAAGCTAAAAACTAATTACTGATCAAAAGAAGAAGCAGAAGAACAAGAAGGTCTGGGAGCCTTTTCTTTCCTTTGTAGCTGATGAAAGAAACAAAAGAGAAAGGGAAAAAAAATTTAAAATATAATAAAAATGCTGCAAAAGAAAGTGTAGCTAGCCCAGGTGACTTTAGATCAAACTCGTATCTTCTTCATTATTGGTTTCTTCATCAATTTGTTTATCACTGCCGGTATTGCAAAGAAGGATCCAGATCAAAAAGCATTGAAGGTTGTTCCCCTCTCTGATCCCCAAACCTTGCTGATGATGGTGATGAAAGTGAGTCTTCCCTCAAAAGCTGAAGAGGTGGTAGTGAAGAAGAGGGAGGTGAATTGGAATTAGCCATTGTCGCATGTGCCATTGAAGATGAGGACAATAAGCTGAAGCAGTTGGGGTCTTCTGATGTTGAAGAAGCACATTCCATATTCACCCCAAACAGCCTAAGTCTTTTGCCTGCAGTGCTAGGACTTGTACTAGTACTAGAACCACCACTCTTGCCACCACGGTGGTGCTGGTGATGATGGTGGTGGTGAGCAACTGGAACAGAATCAATGATTATAGGAGGATGAGAAACATTGCCTCCCTCTTGTTGTTGTTGTCTTGTGTTCAAGGTTTGGTGATCAGTGAATGGCATTGGTGGGGGTGTTGACCTGAGGTAATAGACCGAGCCAGATCCTGAACTACTCATGTCATGATAGTTGTTGTAGTGATGAGTTCCATTTCCTCCAGCACCAGCAGCACCTTGCAATTGGTGATGAAAGGGATGATGATGTTGATGATACATGGTGTTGTAATTGAGGTGTTGTTGCAAATGGTCATGGTGGCGTGGTGGGTTTGGCGAGGGGAGGGAGTAGAATCTTCCAGTGGCACCCCATCTGATGAAGTGTTGCTGATTGGGAAGAAAGAAAGGTGTGAAGAGTGTGGCTGAAGGGTCAGGGCCATGGTGGTGATGGTGATCGGGCCTTCTCCTCCAATCTATGTACAACCTATGCCTATACAAATCCCCTACACCACGCTGGAAGGACACAATGTCACCGGCATCAAGTTTCTTCTCCTTCACAAAACGGCTCCACCCTTTGGTCATCACATAGCTCTGGCTGCTGTTCCAATAAGAGTACCTGAACCTCCATGACTTACCATTTCTGTCCTCAAAATTGAGCAGCAGCCCCTTCTCATTGGCTGAGGAATCAAGAGGGAAATACTTCTCAGCATGCTGCTTTGGTATCACCAATCGGTTCAGCTTACCCACATCACTCGGTGTCACAACTTTGTCAAACATGTGCTCCTTCTCAGAAGGCTGCTGCAGGTTGTTAACGTTACCATCGGCAGAAGAACTACCACTTGCATGATGACCAAACACAGAAGAAGCAGCACCTCCCGATCCTTGCAAATTCCCCTCATCCTTGCTGCTCCCCAGTGTCAAGTCCATGAAATCTAGCTGCTTTGTTGTGTGGTGATGATGATGATGATGATGATGATTATGATGATTGCCGATGACGAAATTGGAAGCTGCTGCATCCTGGTGTAACAACCCTAGCCCAGATGATGAATTGTGAGATTCAGTGGTCTCTGGAGACTGAAGATGATGATCATGATCATGAATATTCATCCCCAGCCATGGATTTTGTTGGTGAGGAATATTTATTACATGATGATGGTGATGAGGACGTGCAGCAGAAGTAGTAGAAGTATAATTTGATATTGAAGGAGCAGGAGATAAAGACAAAGAGGGAGAAGAAAAGGGGTAGTGGTGCTTACTGCTGCTTTCTTCTCTTGTGACGATTTCTTCTGCTGTCTCCTCTTCCTCTTCCTCCTCTCTGCTATCGGAATACCCTTTCACTTCTTGCATCAACTCCATAAAATTACACACTGACCCCACCTTCAATTCTGCTAATTATAACCTCTGGATCTCACCAAATTAAACAATGTCACCAAATAATTGAAAAAAAACGAAATCATAAAGAGAGGAGAACAACAAGAAGAAGAACAAGAGGAGGAGAAGGAAGAGGAGGAAAAGAAGTAAAAATAAAAAATAAAAATGCAAAATTTAGAGTCTGAAAATTGACAAGATTATATATATACATAGGAAGAAATTATTTCAATTACCAAGAAATAAATATATAGTTGGAGAACTGAGAAGATATTTGAGTAGGCAGATAGATATGTGAGGCTGTGAAGAAAACAAAGAAAAGCAGGTGCTTATTTAGTACTAGAAGAGAATTGTAAGAGTCGGTGCCTTCATATTTGACCATGAGGCATCAAACCCTAAAGAAAGACAAGGCATGGAGGATTCAAAACGGGGTTATTGTTGACCTAAACAGCTGAATATGTTAGAGAGATGGAGATGGGAAAGAGGGTGATGTGAGTTTTAGCTAACCCAAGTGTAGTTACCTCAAAGGAAGCTTCTTTACAAGTAACAAAAGAACCAAAAATATTTGCTCCAACCCAGTTTTATTCTTAAACACATCAACAGAGAGAGAGAGGAGAAAAAAAAAGAGAGAGAAAGAAAAGAGGGTTACTACACTTACGTGGGGGGCCCATGAATAATGTGCGTATTGGGGTCATGTGAGCAAGTAGTCATTTTCATGATATTTGGGATAACAATAATAATAATCTGTACAATATATGCTTCCGGTTCTACACTAAAAGGCCACTTGTTCCAGAAGAAAAGAGCTTCACTTTGTTAAATCTGATCCCACCCCATTTTCTTTTAGTTTCTCAAAATTATTAAATGTGGAAAAGGGAAAGGATATCTATGACAAGTTGTTGTTATTAGACAGAAGAGAAGTAGAGGGAGGTGCAACACATTGCAGTGCCAACGGTGTAGTAGAGGAGAGAGAGAGAGAGAGAGACTCTCTGTACAGTGTTAGGTTGATTTGAGTTTCTCTTTTTTTTGACTTTTGGTGCCATTCATTGTGTGCTCTCTCTCTCTCTTGCTGGTCCCTCCTACCCATAATTTTTTCACAATTACAACACTGTCAAACACTACACAATCAAATGTACATGTTTCATTACAAAACATCAGTTTAACTCATAACAATGTTCTAATCCTTGTTTTTCATGGTTTTTTTAGGCAAGAACATGTTTCTTAACATGAGAATGTAAACTCTGGTTTCGTTTCTTCATTCTCATTCAATTATCATCTCTTTTTCTCAGCTACACCTCCTATGCAATGCAACCATACATGTGATTCCCTCTTCAATATTCCTCAACTGTATAAATTTAAGGGAAAAATAAATATATTCCAGACCAATAACTTCTTCTTCAAAACTTCCAACTCCCGAGCTCAGTCATAATTTAATGTCCCGGATCCCAAAAAACATGCCAAATATCACCTTTTAGTTCTTTCTGGCTTTTAATTATATTACTTCTTCCTCATTGTCATTATCATCACGTATGCATAATTTATTTTCCTTTCCTGCTTTTTCGAATTTCTTCCTCTCTGCATAATAAACTTTTCCACCTTCATTTTATTACTTCTTCACACCAGCTCAACTTTCATTCTTATAAATTCATATTTATTGTTGTAACTGGTGAACCAAAACAAACCTACTTGAATTATGAAATATAAAAAAAAACCACATTCTTTATTCAATTATTAATTAACTGATCAAAAAAATATACAATTTTCATGTCATATTTTATGAGCTTGTAATATTTTTTCTAAAAATGGGATTTTTAGTTTTGTTCATATTTAATTAATAATTCGACTAATTTTAAATATGACAGTCTATTTATTAATTTAATTTAAAATAAATAAATACCTTTTAAGGCTAAAAAGTTATATTTGTGTTTCAAATATTGTCGCATTTGGGCTGGTTTTTAATTTTAGTTTTAGTATGAATATGCTTTGACAAAACAAGAAAGATAATTCGTTTGTGTTTCCCTAAACACTAATGATTGAAAAATCAAAAACATGCACATGTGATGATATTTAATTAATAATAAGAAGTAGCAGGTAGCTTGGAGATTGTACACAACAATTAATTCCCGGCTTTTTTTTTTTTTTTTGTTGATCAAATTTTCTAAATAAGACAAATTTCAATAAGCAGCTTTTGAAAGTTAAAATTTTCCTTAAGAAAATAAATAGATGGTATTTTCTAAAGACTTATATATTGAATATGGATAATGTATTTAAGATAGGAAAATAACTACAAAGTTGAAATTGAACCAAGTTGAAGTGTGTAACAAATTAAAACAAGTTCACATAAAATATGCAATTAAACATAACCGATGATTTAGCTCTCCTGCACATGGTTGATCCTTTCTTCCGTACCTATTCATCAATTCAATTACAGTATTAAACAGTGTTTTCAAAAACAAATCACTAACTCAACTCACTCATTTAAGATTTCATTATTCGGTAAGAAAAAGTTTACTTATTCAAATATAAGAAGTAAATATGGTCAAGTTTATATCAGTAAAATATACTAATAAAATGGAAAATATAATAACATGATTTTATAAATTTTTTCAAAATTTTAAATGAAATATCTTATAATATTTGAGTCTAATTTCAATAATACATTATCCATGAATAATAACACGTTTAAATTTAAAATTTATAAGCAAAAATAATTTGATTTCTTTTTTTATCTTTGTAAAAAAAATAAAGAATGTAATGAAACACTTTTTTCACCAATTTGACTTGTTTTATAGATTTTAGATTTTGGCTCTTTCATCAATTTTTCTACATGAAACGCCTGATTGATCAGTTTATTGATTTTCTACTTCGACCAATCGATTCAATTTAATTTTCAGAACAGTATTCTTATATGTATATGGAAGCCGAATAAATTAATTATTTCAGATTTAAGCTTAACATATAATAATATTTGGTACAAAGTGTTTAAATTTTCAGTGAAAGATTATTTTGTGTTTAAAGGGGATTAAACGAGTTTGTTTTATTGTTTACTTGAAAATTGGTTTATACCAATCTGTCAATTTAAACTCCTATGTTAATTAATGAGACACAAAACATCAATTTGGTTATTTTAATATCAATTTTCACATTATTAAACTTAGTAAATAATAATTCATTGAACACGTATTAATAATATCTGTATTTTAATTTTATTATAAATTTATATTATTAATAAATATTAAATACTACTGGTTTGACCGTAACTTAGCCATGATTGAATCAATAAATTGTAGATCATTGCTTTATAAATACTTGATGTAGTAAAACAAGATAGTAGGGTTTTATACTCTCTCTATGTAGAATTTTTACACTTTTGTTTAATTAAAAATTTAGTTAACATTATTAAATTTTGCTAATCACGTTTTTCCAAAACAAACTTGAAATTTGATATTTTCCCTATATCATCTGGAGACATATATAAACTTGGATGTTTTTTTATCCACCTCTTTGAACATGCACAACACACAAGAAGAAATAGTATGTATTGAATGTTTTAAACCCTCCTTGCATGACCTATCATAATAAACCCGGATACCTAAAATATTGAAACATCACCTAAGTCTTTCCTACCAAAACAAATGTTAAATATATGCTTAATTAGTGTCAATCAAAAGCTCAATGAACTACTACAAGGAAGCAAATCACCAACGTGAAAGATAAGAATCATGAATTCGGTCTAATTGTTAGAAATATTTAGTTTAAAATCTCACATATAAAGTTAAATGGTATGTAAGAAAAACAAGATACATAAACATTAAACTTTAGGTTTTATGTTGAATGTGATATCAAGTCTCTTATATAAACAATTCATATCCCAGATGTGATCAATCTCCTCAATTTATCCCAATAATCAATCTCCTTGATTTAACCTAGTATAAGAATTTCAACATAATTATAAACTAAGAGGAGTTTCTATTTAGAAAATAATTATGGACTCTAATCTTTTTCAAATCAAAGCTTATGTTTCATGTATTTAAATTTCAATTTGTTGCAGACATCACTATCTTCAACATATTCTCACTAAAACCACTAACACCATTACTCATATATAGTGTTATGAAATAAGGAGTGCTATCATTGAAGAGCTCAAATCGGAGTTGAGGGAAAAGAGTGGATATGAAGCAGGTAAATGCATATCCTTGTTTGTATGCACAATGTAGAAGAAAGACAGACAGTACAACTCTATCTAAGAGAAAGATGATGGTGTGTCACCAAGGACAATAGTGGTGGGTGGCAACAATGAAGTTGTAAGAGAGAAATGAGAGGAGGACTCAATGTATGTAAGAGAAATATGTCTCAATTTAATATAAACAACTGTTCCTAAATCTTCTTACATTAATTAAATTTCTTTTCTGCAAAAATGTTACTGTATTTTGTTTGACTTTTGAGATCGATTATAAGAAAAATTCAACAACAAAAAGAAAAGAATCAAATAGAGATATAATTAAAATAACAATTCAGACTTATATTTAATTGTCTTTTCTAATTTTATACCTTGAATAACTTATTAATACCATTTCCAATCCATATAAAGATATTAACGTCACTTTCAATTCCAAAACTTAACATAATGAGTTTAAATAATTCGATATTTTCATTTATATACTTAGAACAAAAATTAAACTCGTACTTAAACTCTTAATATGTTTTATATTTTTTTTATCAACACTAACTAATATATATAAATAAAAGAATAAAACATTAAGAATGTCTCAATCCATGCACAACACTAATAAAAACAAAAGAAAATGTAAAAAATTGAAACCTTTGAATACGAAATCTCTTTGTGAACCTAACATGTTTTATTTATATGATACTTTTATTAAATCAAAACACACTATAAAAAAAAGTGAAAAGATAAAAAAAGAGGAAGATTTTCTAGAATAATGTAACTTTTGTCTAAGAAAAATTAAAGAATTAATTATGAAACAAGTATGATAAGAAGCATTAACACTAAACACTTTTGGAAGCAGAAAGTAATAGGAAAGTGAGAAGACTAGTTACTGTAGTGAACAGTGTATACAGATTTGGTTAGTTTGAAATGATTATGTGGAGAGAAGGTAGCTGGTGTAAAAAAGAATAGTAAAAAAAAAACAGTGGGAGTTTAGACATTTCACCTTTGGATAGATGTATGTGTGTGTATGGTTATGGTTGTTGAAAGCAGAAAGCAAAGATGTCGTTGTCTGTTTGATGGGTGATTATATTGTTGGGAGAAGCAGTGGATTTGAATACTGTAGACTGTACAATAAATTGAAAATGGTGCTAGCTAGCTCTATACGAAATAGATGGATGGCTATGTTTATGAAAAGTAAGTATCATGTGGTCCAGTGTGTGATCTATGTGCCTATTTCTATGGGTTTGGGCAAAGTCTCCAATCACCATAAATTGCACATTTGCATCTATGATATAGACAAGCAAAAAGATTAACATTGTCATACTCAACTTGTAGGAGAGGTA